ATATTTTGGCCTTAAATCAACACACTCCTCCCCCTTTCAAGACTCCCTCATTTTGGCCAAAGGTGAGAAAAAGAGCAAGAGGAGTTCTTGAAGAGTGATCAAAGAAAACCAAGCTACTTTGATCTACTAGGTTAAGATCTAAGGTTAGTAAGTCGTTTCATAGTAGTTCTTGGTTGTTTTCCTTGAACTTTGATGGTTGAAATTTCCATTCTTGCCTCTTTTGGTTGCTGACCGAAATGGTTGATGGTTAGGGGAGGGAAATTTTGTTGTTAAACCTTGTTAGAACACCTTAAATCATGGTTGTTTCAAGTGGTTTAAGTTGTTATTTGGAAGTTTTCATGGTTGGGTCACTAGAGGTTTAGTTTGGCTTGTTACACCTTACTATCGTATCATCTTAGGGTTCAATTAAGACCATTTTAGACCACATGGGATGGTCTTGGGCTCAATTCTATCTCAAAAACACTAATTTTCGGATTTTCACTGTTCATTGGGTAAAAATCCAGTTTTCTGGCCTAACTTCAAAAATTCATAACTTAATCCAAAAAAATCAAAATGGAGTGGTTTAAAATTTTATAAAATTATATTTGAATTATCTTTCAGGAAAAAATAGTCTTGTGAACCAATTCCATTGGAAAAAGCATCAGGTTTTTGTGAAAGTCACCTTTGTCTATTAGGAAAAAACCCTTTTTCCAGATTCTGAACTTTAACTTTGAAAAATCATTAAAAATCGTGTAGTTGGCCATTTTTAACGTGTTGACTATCACAATGAAGCTCAGAACGTGATATACAAACATGCCAAATTTCGTAATTAAAAGTTTTCAGGAACTAAATCAAAATGTCACATAAATGTGGCGGTGTCAGTGAATTTACAGCACTGCCCAGCATAATATTACATAACCCAAAAGTCCACGAATTTTTATGGTATGATACCATATTTTTAACCTTCAATCTGTAGCTTGCCCTTGGATGTTTCAAGCCCTAAAATGTTAGATTGCATTTGGGAAATGAGATTTCATTGAAATCCCAATAGCAAATTAACCAACTATATCATCAACAAGTATCATCATCATGCATAACTACATTAACTACTATTGGTGAAGTGGCATGTTTATCATTTGGCAAACTCAATCATGCAAAGGCCAAAGCAAGAAAGTGCAAAGAGCAGCCACATCACAATCAAGAAAGTTCATCCACATAATAGCAATTAATCATGCAATAATCAATAATGCCAAGTCAATGTTAGTAGTTAGGTTCAACTTGCTACGTTGCTCCAAAAGCTTGAGCCTTCTTTCTTTCTCTTCTTTTCCTTCACAAATTTCAAACCCTAGCAAGGCAATCTATCAAAAACGGCAGCAAAAATCATTAATCAAACCAAGTAAAAGCAAGAACACAACTTAAATATGACTCTTGCTCCTTAAAGCTTCCACCTTTGTTCTTTATTTTTGAACTTGTTTCCTTTTAACCCTAAAAATTGCTTCTTGACTTATTTCTACATGGTATTTCATGTAGATTCTAAATATATGCTTAGATTTAAGAAAATAAAACTCCTCCTTTCAGTTGCTCTTGACCGAACCAAGAGGGTTCTTTAACCCAAAAATTACAACGTTGGTTTTAATGCTTCCAACACTTGTTCCTTTTGGTTTACCCTACACCATTTTTCATTTTGAGCACCATGGAAGCCTTAAAATATTGAAAAACTCATCCTAGGGTTCAGTTACTATCTTGGCCGAAATGAACCTTAGGAAAAACACTAAAGAAAACACTTCAAAAACAACCAATAACCACTTGCAACCACTAGAAACTATCATGCTTTGAAGTGTCTTAACAAGTTTGACTAACCAAACTTCTTCTCCCTCATGATAAACCAGTTTGGCGAGCACCAAAAATGAGAGGAGACAGAATTTTTGAACCACACAACTCAAGCAAACAAGGTGGAGAACAACTTAAGACCAAAAACTAACCTTGAATCCTTGATTAAGTGACCAAAGTTGATAGCTTTTCCTTGTTTCTCCTTCAGAACCCTCTCTTTTCTTTCTTCCTCTCACTTGGCCGAACACCATCTGAAATTAAGGGGAGGAGAGCTTGTTTAATGAGCCAAAATATCTCAACCACCATCATAAATGAAATTCCAAGTGTCATTACCCTCTTTAATCTTACTTTCTCTTTCATAATTAACTAAATCCAAATGAAATTAATTATCAAAAGTCAAAATCCTCTTCATTTGAGGAATGACACTTGGCAAGTTCAAATTCTCTCCATTAGGGGCTTGACACATGGCTAATTGTGAACCATTTAAATTGCAAGACTCTAGTCTTGCTTTATCGGTGCACTTTAACTCTGGGTTTAACTTCGTTTCTATAATAATAGTATTTTGGCCTCTGTAATCATTTTATGTCATATCCCTAATTTATTCTCCTTATTTTTATCTTCCCAAATTGCCCTCTTTGTCTCAAAATTAATTTCCCAATAATTAAATAAAAAGGAAAACTAATTTCCTTCTCTTTACGATTTTTCCACTTTTCAAAGGCATTGGGAAAAATCTTAGATACTTGAGGGTCTTTATTTAATTCCATAATCTCCTATAATTCCTTGGAATATCATAGGAATTTTCTTAGAATTTTATTCCACTTAAAAATATTTATTTGGAATTTTCCAAATAAAATCCCTTAAATTAGACTAAATCACCCTTAAATTCCTTTGTAATTTTTCTAAGGGTAATTTGGTCATAAAACCAATTTTATAATCTCATATAATTCTCAAAGGATATTATCCTTATTTTTTCTTAATTTTCTAAGGCTTGATAATATTATTCCATAATTATATTTGACCAATTTTCTTTAATTAGTCAAATTTTCATAATTGGCTTGGAAAATCATAATAATTATTTTCCACCAAAATTCTTCTAATTCTCCTTATCATTTTTTGCCCTTGATTATTTAGGAATATTTCTTATTTCTATTGTTGAGGCTCTTGTGGTCGTAAAACAATTCTATTGTTGCTCCGTACAAATAATGTCTCCATATCTTCAATGCATAAACTATTACTGCCAATTCCAGTCGTGGGTCGGGTAATTCTCCTCATGAGATTTCAATTGGCACGAGGCATATGCTACTACCTACCCTTGCTGCATAAGCACACATCTCAATCCCTGCTTGCTAGCATCTGTATAAACCACATAGGGTTGCGAAGGATCAGGGAGTACAAGTACGGGAGTAGAGGTGAGCTTCCTCTTCAGCTCTTGAAAACTAGCCTCACTTTTCTCGTCCCACAAGAACGGCTGGTTCTTCTTGGTTAACTTGGTCAGCTGGAGAGCAATTCGAGAAAAGTCCCAGATGAATCTTCTATAATACCCCGCTAGTCCGAGAAAACTTCTAATCTCACTCACCATCTTGGGTCTCTCCCAATTGAGTACTGCCTTAATATTACTGGGGTCGACAGCTACTCCTTCTCGGGAAATCATGTGGCCGAGAAATCAGACTTCCTCTAGCCAAAACTCACACTTACTAAGTTTGGCCACCGGTTGCTTCTCTTTTAGGGTATTTGGGACAATTCTCAAATGCATCTTATGTTCTTCAGGAGAATTGGAGTATACCAGGATATAATCGATAAACACTACCATGAATTGATCTAAGTAAGGGCGAAAGATCCTATTCATGTAGTCCATGAATATCGCAGGTGCATTCGTCAATCCGAACGGCATCACTAAGAACTCATAGTGCCCATAGCGAGTTCTAAACGCAGTCTTAGGGACATCATCTAGTTTAATCTTGAGTTGGTGGTAGCCAGATCTTAAATCAATCTTAGAGAACACACTGGCACCAACTAACTGGTCTAATAGATCATCTATCCTAGGGAGCGGATACTTGTTCTTGACTGTGAATTTATTCAACTCCCTGTAGTCTATGCATAATCTTAGACTACCATCCTTTTTCTTAATAAATAACACTGGAGCACCCCATGGCGATACACTTGGTCTAATAAAACCTTTTTCAAGTAATTCTTCTATCTGCTTTTTAAGTTGTGCCATTTTATTTGGAACCATTCTATAAGGGGCCTTAGAAATTGGTCCTGCTCCAGGTATGATGTCAATCGTGAATTCTACTTCTTTATCTGGTGGTGGTCTTATGACCTCTATCGGAAACACTTCCGGAAACTCCTTAACAACTGGGATTTCTTCTATCCCCTCTTCTACCTCTACTTGCATCGAGAAGAAAATGAGGAATCATTGACAACCTTTCCGTAGGCATTTGCCCGCTTGGGCTTCTGTTAAGAAATTCAATCTAACCTCTGGATTCAACTCTAAATCTCTCGAAGATAAGATTAGGGTTTTTTTTCTTACAGTCCATTAAGATATTGTGGAATGATAACCAATTCAGTCTAATCACCACATCAATTTCATGGAAGGGCATACATATTAAGTCTATAACAGTACAACAGTACTCATAACAAACTATGCAGTTCAAGCACGCATAAGATGTAATTACCTTATTCTGTGTTGGTATGGACACATGTATATCATACGGCAATGTCTTCATAATCAAGCCAAGTCTCTTAACACAGGCATACGAGATAAAAGAATAACTAGCACCCGAATCAAACATTGTAATCACTAGGGAGTTGTTAATCATAATCATACCTTGGATCATCTCCGGGGACTTCCGGGCTTCTTCCCCTGTGAGGGCAAACACTTGGCCTTGGGTGAGTGGTCGTACCTTTCCAGTGTTCTGTGGGCATTCTCTCAAGAAATGTCCAGGTTTGCCACAGGTGTAGCAAACGTTCGGTCCAACCATGTATGGTCTGTCACTATGATTCTTGCCACACTTCATACACTCCTTGCCCTTCGGTGGCTTACCGCCTTTCTTATTCTTGCGGTTGTTCTATGGTTGCTTTCTCTTCTTACTTGCATTAGATGAGGTGCCACCCTGACCTCCCTAACGCCCCTTCTCTTCTTTGGGAGTAGTCTTGACCATCAGATGCTGGTTTAAGCTACTTTTCATGATTCAGCAAGCCTCGACCACCTTATTGAACTGCTTAAACTGTCTAGGAGCAATCATCTCCCTCAAGGACTGCCTTAGTCCTCGAACCATCTTCTCTATCATCCACCTCTCGTCGTTTCCGTAGCGAAGATAACTTGAGTAATTAGAGAGACAGATGAACTTAGCCAGGTACTCATCAAATAGCTCATCATCTCTCTGCTTCAGGGTTAGGAATTCTGCTTCCCTTTCGTCTCGGATGGATCTTTGAAAATACTTCTCACAGAAATGCTCCAAGAACACTTCCCAAGTTACCCTTGTGTTCCGAGCATCCAGAAGAATTTCAGTATTCTTCCACCAGCGATCAGCATCTTTCTCTAGCCTATATATTACCATCTGGGCTTTTCGCTCTGATGAGCAGTCTAATACTTTAAAGATCTTCTCTAGAAGGTTAATCCAATCTTCCGTTGCTTGAACATTAAATGTTCCCTCAAATGATGGCGGGTTGTGTTTACAGAAGTGAGTCATCTATTGCTGGATGCTATCAGGGTCTGCTGCTGGCATTGCTGGTCTAGGCAATTGTTCTGATGCTTGTGCTGTGAAGACTTCTTCCTCTGGCTGCCTCCTGTCGAGGTTAGCCATTGTCACTGTTATTGCTGGGGCTATCGCTGGATCCCTCTCTTGTTCCTAGCGAGCTTGTGCCGCCCTCATCTCCTCGATGGTCTTCTGTTGCTGCTCGAGACGTTTCAAAATTATTTGCAATGGATCGGGAGGGACCCTTGTATCTTGAACTGGGGGTCTCTCTAGCGAAGAGTTTCATCGGGTTTTAACCATCGTGTTTAACTAACCGGATAGCATAATAAGGAACAAGAAGTAAATATCATGCTTGGATTTCATTTAACAAAAGAGGCATACATCATTCAACATTTAAGCATTAGGCATCAACAATGCAGTTTAAAGTATACATACACCAAGCACTGCCAGTCTAACCTACTATGGTTAGCTGCACCAAAATACATCCTATGTTAGTAATAGGAGGGTCCCAGTCGTCTACAAAAAATGAACAATAACAAAGCCCTTGAGGCTTTGGATCCAGTCCTCCACATCATCTCCCAATATGTAGTTCAGGCGGATGATCTCATGGGTCTAGAATGGAGTATTGAGTAGGACCTCTACCATCTCACATAACCAATCAAAAGATTCTAGGTAAGGGTTGCCTAGTCCATGGGCTTGGTACAGCTCTCTCACGCCCTAGAGGTAGTCTAGGTGTACTCTCAGGTCTGCGTCCATATCCCTCCTGATGTGACGCCCTAGGAACCTCAGTCGGTCACTCAGCTGACCCATACTGTGGATCTCATGACTAGGCAGAGCAGGGGTAGTTACGACTGGTATTGTAGGTACTACAGGTGTTACAGGAGCTGGGGGTATAACTGGTCCGGTACTAGGTCCGGGAATGTTGCATGGATGTACAACAGGGGTAGCAGGCTGTCTGATGGACTGAATGTAAAGGCCTAGGTCTAATGGTTCTTGGTATAGTCCAGTTACAGGATCTATCAAGTCACTGGGTTCGGGAAGGTACAGTAACTGTTCTGTAGTGATCCCTAGCAGCTTAGGATAGCACTCAACATAGTCATTTGAGCTCACTAATGAATGGCCTAGGCTGGCATCTCCCATAGTCCATTCCACCAGATCTTCTTTTTTGGTGAGATCAATAACGTTAAGATCCCAATCATTGACTGATGGCTCAAATCTAGGGTCCCAGTCCATGGTGTTTTCCATCCTGATTCCTGTAAAGACGTGTCAGTTTCTTCCTATCTAACCCCAAAATCTAATGAATAACTTAAGCAGAGCGTTCTATCTTATGCAAAACCTTTGTTCTTATACTAAAAATATTACACCTTACTATCGTATCATCTTAGGGTTCAATTAAGACCATTTTAGACCACATTGGATGGTCTTGGGCTCAATTATATCTCAAAAACACTAATTTTCGGATTTTCACTGTTCATTAGGTAAAAATCCAGTTTTCTGGCCTAACCTAAAAAATTCATAACCTAATCCAGAAAAATCAAAATAGAGTGGTTCAAAATTCTATAAAATGATCTTTGAATTATCTTTCAAGGAAAAATAGTATTGTGAACAATTCCATTGGAAAAAGCATCATGTTTTTGTGAAAGTCACCTCTGTCTATAAGGAAAAAAACCTTTTTCCAGATTCTGAACCTTAACTTTAAAAAATCATTAAAAATCGTGTAGTTGGCCATTTTTAACGTGTTGACTATCACAATGAAGCTCAGAACGTGATATACAAACATGCCAAATTTCATAATTAAAAGTTTTCAGGAACTAAATCAAAACATCATGTAAAGGTGGCGGTGTCAGTGAATTTACAGCACTGCCCAGCATAATATTACATAACCCAAAAGTCCACGAATTTTTATGGTATGATACCATAATTTTAACCTTCAATCTGCAGCTTGCCTTTTGATATTTCAGGACCTAAAATGTTAGATTGCATTTGGGAAATGAGATTTCATTGAAATCCCAATAGCAAATTAACCAACTATATCATCAACAAGTATCATCATCATGCATAACTACATTAACTACTATTGGTGAAGTGGCATGCTTATCATTTGGCAAACTCAATCATGCAAAGGCCAAAGCAAGAAAGTGCAAAGAGCAGCCACATCACAATCAAGAAAGTTCATCCACATAATAGCAATTAATCATGCAATAATCAATAATGCCAAGTCAATGTTAGTAGTTAGGTTCAACTTGCTACGTTGCTCCAAAAGCTTGAGCCTTCTTTCTTTCTCTTCTTTTCCTTCACAAATTTCAAACCCTAGCAAGACAATCTATCAAAAACGGCAGCAAAAATCATTAACCAAACCAAGTAAAAGCAAGAACACAACTTAAATATGACTCTTGCTCCTTAAAGCTTCCACCTTTGTTCTTTATTTTGAACTTGTTTCCTTTTAACCCTAAAAATTGCTTCTTGACTTATTTCTACATGGTATTTCATGTATATTCTAAATATATGCTTAGATTTAAGAAAATAAAACTCCTCCTTTCAGTTGCTTTTGACCGAACCAAGAGGGTTCTTTAACCCAAAAATTACAACGTTGGTTTTAATGCTTTCAACACTTGTTCCTTTTGGTTTACCCTACACTATTTTTCATTTTGAGCACCATGGAAGCCTTAAAACATTAAAAAACTCATCCTAGGGTTCAGTTACTATCTTGGCCGAAATGAACCTTAGGAAAAACACTAAAGAAAACACTTCAAAAACAATCAATAACCACTTGCAACTACTAGAAACTATCATGCTTTGAAGTGTCTTAACAAGTTTGACAAACCAAACTTCTTCCCTATCATGATAAACCAGTTTGGCGAGCACCAAAAATGAGAAGAGACAGAATTTTTCAACCACACAACTCAAGCAAACAAGGTGGAGAACAACTTAAGACCAAAAACTAACCTTGAATCCTTGATTAAGTGACCAAACTTAATAGCTTTTCCTTGTTTCTCCTTCAAAACCCTCTCTTTTTTCTCTTCCTCTCACTTGGCATTACCACCATCTGAAATTAAGGGGAGGAGAGCTTGTTTAATGAGCCAAAATATCCCAACCACCATCATAAATGAAATTCCAAGTGTCATTGCGCTCTTTAATCTTACTTTCTCTTTTATAATTAACTAAATCCAAATGAAATTAATTACCAAAAGTCAAAATCCTCTCCATTTGGGGAATGACACTTGGCAAGTTGAAATCCTCTCTATTAGGGACTTGAATATGGCTAATTGTGAACCATTTGAATTGCAAGACCCTAGTCTTGCTTTATCTGTGTACTTTGACTCCGGGTTTAACTTCATTTCTATAATTACATTATTTTGGCCTCTGTAATCATTTTCTATCAGATCCCTAATTTATTCTCCTTATTTTTATCTTTCCAAATTACCCTCTTTGTCTCAAAATTAATTTCCCAATAATTAAATAAAAAGCAAAACTAATTTCCTTCTCTTTAGGGTTTTTCCACTTTTCAAAGGTATTGGGAAATCTTGGATACTTGAGGGTCTTTATTTAATTCCATAATCTCCTATAATTCCTTGGGATATCATAGGAATTTTCTTAGAATTTTATTCCCCTTAAAAGTATTTATTTGGAATTTTCCAAATAAAATCCCTTAAATTGGCCTAAATCACCCTTAAATTCCTTTGTAATTTCTCTAAGGGTAATTTGGTCATAAAACCAATTTTATAATCTCATATAATTCTTAAAGGATGTTATCCTTATTTTTTCTTAATTTTCTTAGGCTTGAAAATATTATTCCATAATTATATTTAACCAATTTTCCTTAATTAGTCAAATTTTCATAATTGACTTGAAAAATCATAATAATTATTTTCCACTAAAATTATTCTAATTCTCCTTATCATTTTTGGCCTTTGATTATTTAGGAATATTTCTTATTCCTAATTACCATAGTACTGGATGTGACACGGCCAATATGAGAACTCTACCCTAGGATGAGTTTTTCAGTGTTTTGAAGCTTCCATTGTGTTTAAAATAGAAAATGGTGTAGGATAAACCTAAAGAACAAGTGTTGGAAGCATTAAAATTAAAGTTGTGATTTTTGGAAAATAAACCCTATGTTTTGGCCAACTTGGTTCTTGAAGAAAGAGATTTCTTTTCTTAAATCCAAGTATATATTTGGAATCTACATGAAAAATCATGTAAAAGTGAACCAAGAAAAGATTTTTAGCATTTAAGGAAATAAAGCTAAAAAATTAAAGAACAAAGATTAAAGCTTTAAGGGTTAAGGGGTTATTTGAGCTTTGTTATTGATTTTTATATGGTTTGGTTGGTAATCTTACTGCCTTTCTTATGGATTGTGATGTTAGGGTTTGATATTTATGGAGGAGAGAAAGAGGATCAAAGAATCAAAAAGCTTTTGGACCAAGGTAGTAAGATTTAGTTAACTACTAATGTTAACCTTGCATTGTTTATTGTGGCATGAATGCTTGCTATCATGTGGTTGAACTATGATGATTGTGATGTGGTTGCTCCTTGCATTTGTTGCCATGGCCTTGCATGTTGAGGCTGCATATTTATAAGATGATTCCTATGGTAGCTAAGGTTTGTAATGCTCTAATGATGATGCATATTGATGTTGTGGTTGATTATTCTTGGTACTGGGATTTCATTGAAATCTCACCCTCCCAAAGTAATCCAACATTTTAGGCCCAGAATCATCTGAAGGGATGTTGCAAATTCAAGGGTAAATGTGGTGGTGAATCATGGAAACAATTATAATTTGGTTATGTATAAGTATGAATGTTGTGATGCTATAACCCTAAGGTGGATGTTGACTTGGAGCAATATTGTGATTAAGTTCCTGAACGAATATAACCACAAAATTTGTCATGCTTAAAGATCACATCTTGATCTTCAATTTGATAGGTAGCAAATTAAAAATGGACAATTGTGTGATTTTTAATGATTTTCCAAATTTAAGGTTCAAAATTTGA